TCCCCTCCCTGTGCCTCGGTTCCCCTGATGGACACAGCCGGGGCTGTCAGGGAGCCCCTGGAAAGCAGGCAATGGCCCCTGGTCGAGAAAGTTAGGCCTTGGTCTGGGCTCTGCCTCGGCCTTCCGTGTGGTCTCAGGTGAACCTTGGTGGTCCCTGAGCGTCCCTCCTGCTCTGGCTGCGTGGGTCCCAGAGGGGGCTTGCTTTTTTCCCATTACCCTTTCTCTCATGAGCTAGGGAGGATGGGCCAGGTGACAAGGCCAGACATCACTAACCCTGTCCTCTCTGACCTGGCAGAAAGGACATCAAGAAGGGGGAGAAGAACACAATCGTCACCTCCTACAACAGGAATTTCACGGGTCGCAACGACGCAAACCCCGAGACCCATGCCTTTGTCACATCCCCAGAGGTGAGGCTGCCCAGCTAGGCCCTGACCTGCGACTGCCTCTCAGGGCCCTGACCCCATGGGCCTGCTGTGAGAGGGTTGGCATCAGAGCAAGGGGCTGTGGGAGCAGAACCCGAGAGCCACAGGCCTTGCCAGCCCCAAGCATCACGCTCCCTTGGCACATGTGGCCCCTCATGTCCCAGGGGTCAGAGGTGCTTGCCTGGTACAGCTGTGATTACAAACAGGAGCTCTGCCTGGGACAGCCCCCAGCGCGGCCTCTGCCCCGCCGTATGGGCCTAGCCAAGTCACTTTCCTTTTCTGTGCCCTGGGGTCCCGTCAGGGTTACATGAGCGAGTGCACAAAGCACTTGCACGATCTGTGAGCTGGGAAGGCGGCTTCGTTGTTAGGCTGAACGTGGAGTGAGCCAGGCACTCCAGGCGCTGAGTGGGGATTCAGCCGCAGCCATGGTCGGCACTCAGCCCATCTTTCTTTACTTGATTTTTTTTATATGGGTATTTCAGAAATATTTTTGTTTACTAAAAATGAGTGAAAAAGTGGCCCTTCCATGTTTTCACTTAGGAACATTTTCATTGCAGCTGCATTTCTTTGTCGGGGTTGCACACCTGTCAGGGGACAAGTGTACCAGGCAGTGCTGGCCCTGCCCCTGAGGAGGGCACTCTGAGGTCCTGGCCCCAGTGGGGAGTGGAGGCCAGGTCGCCTGGGTTCACGAGTGCTCTGCAGGCCCAGTGGCCTCAGAGATGTTCCTGCAGCTCCGCCCGCTGCGGAGAACTTGGAGATCCCCTGGGCTGCGCGCTCATTGTGAGCTCGGCTTTGGCTTGGGGTGTTAGGGGGACAGCAGTGGTGTTTGGTCCTAACTGACAAACCGGCTACCTCCATTTCAGATTGTCACAGCCCTGGCCATTGCCGGCACCCTCAAGTTCAACCCAGAGACTGACTTCCTGACAGGCAAGGATGGCAAGAAGTTCAAGCTGGAGGCTCCAGATGCAGATGAGCTTCCCCAAGCGGTGAGCAGGCCCTGCCGCCCCTGCTGTCAGCGCTGCAGGCCTGCGCCTGCCTCTGCCTCTGCCTCTGCCTCTGCCTCTGCCTCGGTGTCTCAGGCCACTGCTGGCCACTGTGGCCAGGACTCTTCCTTCCTAAGGACTTTTCCGTCCCAATATCTGGGCATCTCAGCCCTGCCTGTCCTGGGCAGGCAGGGGTGGCACCGTTAGTGAGAACGAAGCAGCTGTTCACTGGGAGGGCAGGGCTTGGGGCACGGCGGAGCTTGCCTTCTGTGAGAGAGGGGACTGAGGATTCGGCACCCAACATGCCCCCATCCCCTGCTGCAGGAGTTTGACCCAGGGCAGGACACCTACCAGCACCCTCCCAAGGACAGCAGTGGGCAGCGGGTAGACGTGAGCCCCACCAGCCAGCGCCTGCAACTTCTAGAGCCTTTTGACAAGTGGGATGGCAAAGACTTGGAGGATCTGCAAATCCTTATCAAGGTCAGTGGCGTGGGAACGTGGTGAGGGGTGGCTGCCGGGGCGGACAGCCCCAGCCAGCCGGGGCACCCTTTGCCGATTGGCGGGAAGGCCATGAAACCTTGCGTTTTCCTGGGGGAAGGGAAGGGCCAGGGAGCAAGGGCCAGAAGAGCAAGGGCATCGGCGGCCCCATGTCCCTTTAGTCACTGCCTGAGCTGGGCAGAGCTGGATCTGGCCAGCTGCTGTCTGGGGCTCTCAGCCATCTGGCTGCAGCTGGTAAGGGCCACCTCCAGTGGGTGTGGGTGGTGAGTGTACCACAAGGAGAGCAAGAAGGGCACGAAGGGCACGTGTGACCCAGCACAGCAGGTCTCCGCCCTCTGGTTTGACCAGCAGGCTCCAGAAGCCATTGATTGCTCTGTTCCCACAGTTGGGCATTAGTGATGTGACCTGTTTGGGAGCTGAGCAGACCCAAGCCTTTGTCATGTCAGACCCATGTCAGACATGAGTTTATCCTGAGTCTCTAGGCAGTGACACAGCCAGAATTAAGCCCATGTGATAGATGAGACTGATGGGCCACCAGCCTGGACACATCCCCAGGCTCCCCTGTGTCCAGCATGAGGTCTGTAGCTGATCTTCCAGCTCAGATGACTCTTACTGGGGCCTACGCCTGAAGGGTGAGCGAGCAGCCATCTGTCCGCCTTCTCTGGCCTCTGTCACCTTTGAGTGTCCTGTCCTGGAGATCTCACTCCCAAAGCTTTTGAGGGGTGGGTGATGGCCATACCTGAGCCCTTTTGACCAAGGGGTAATGATGCCAGACCACGTGTCCTGTGCCTGCTTCTCGTCACTCTTCCTGGGTCCTGGTCACTGGAGCCTCTGCTGCCTCTAGAGCGCTTCTTCTCTCGTCCACCATTCGAGGGCCATGCCCCAACCCATCCTCTCGCCCACCCACCCAAGGTCAAAGGGAAGTGCACCACTGACCACATCTCGGCCGCCGGCCCCTGGCTCAAGTTCCGTGGGCACCTGGATAACATTTCCAACAACCTGCTCATCGGTGCTATCAACATCGAAAACGGCAAGGCCAACTCTGTGCGCAACGCCGTCACCCAGGAGTTCGGCCCCGTCCCCGACACTGCCCGCTACTACAAGGTGGGTCAGAGCGGTGAGGCTGGGGGTGGGGTCCTCTGGCACCTTCTGGTAGCTGGGTAGGACAGAGTGGGTGGTCCAGGGAAGGGGTGCTCTTCACCCAGGAGCCCACACCCACAGTTTTGCAGAGTGATGCCTCGGTGCCATAGAGGCAGTCCCATGTCTGTCACCTCCTCTGTCACCTCCACTACACACCCACTGCTCAGGGCTCTGCTCCCACACTATGGCTCTCCGCCCTGGCCTGGCTCCATGCTGAGCACCCACGGGTGGGTGGCACCTCCCCGTGCCCACCATCAAAGCCCATGTCTCATCATCTCTGACCCCTCGGGGGTCAGACTTCACCTGCCCTTGAGAAGCAGGTGAGGTGGGGCCTCTCCAGCCTCTTGACCTATGAGCCTCTGGGAGCCGAGGGGCTAGGTGGGTGGGGGGCCAGTGCCTGTTTGTTCCTCGTACCTCACTGCTCCCTTGCCTGACAGGAAAACGGCATCCGGTGGGTGGTGATTGGAGACGAGAACTATGGCGAGGGCTCGAGCAGGGAGCATGCGGCCCTGGAGCCACGCCACCTTGGGGGTCGGGCCATCATCACCAAGAGCTTCGCCAGGATCCACGGTGAGCTGCAGCCCCGGCCCAGCCCCATCTACTTCCCCTCAGTGGCAGCCCAAGGTCACCCACCTTGCCAGTGGCTGAGCTGGGCCACACCCACCAGCCTCTGCCCCTTCAGATCTGCCTTGAGTCCGACACCCACAGCTTCCCACCTCAGACAGGCACTGGTCTTGCACGCTTGCAGTCCTAAACAGTCGAAATCCAGGGCACACTGTCAGAGGGTTCTCTCTGCTGGGGGGTGTCGATCAGGACACAGGCACCAGCGCACACAGTGCAGGGCCCAAGCGAGAGGCACCGTACCGCTGGGAGCACAGCCAACCTGGGCCTGTGGTCACTGCCCCAGGTTTGTCCCCAGGCAGTAGGACTAGGCTGTCTCCCAGAGCCCTAACTGGACTTAGAAAAGAAAGCGCTTTGGGCTGATGAGGTTCCTGCACAGCGAAGGGGGACAGGACCTTGCACACTGTGGACTGAGTGTGTGACCTCTGCCTTCCAGAAACCAACCTGAAGAAGCAGGGCCTGCTGCCCCTGACCTTCGCTGACCCCGCCGACTACAACAAGATTCACCCCGTGGACAAGCTGACCATCCAGGGCCTGAAGGACTTTGCCCCTGGCAAGGTAAGGGGGCCCGGGAAAGAGGGCAGGCTGGCTGTTCATCTCCTCATCTCCCCCGGGGCCCTCCTGGGCAGGGGAGGACAGGGGACCGCTGCCTTGCTTCCCCTTCTACACCTGGCCCCACCTGCACCTCTTCCCGTAAGCCTTGTTAAGGAAGGGCCCTTAAACTCTCCAGGCAACCCCCAGCGGGAAGGAAGTGCCTCCTCAGTGCAGGCCCTGCTACTGTTCACCCACTAGCCCAGGCTTTGCATTCAGAGGCCAACAGCTCATGCTCAGCAGGACCCTCTTGGCCCCAGGAGTTACACCCTTCGGGTCCTGCCACGGCCACCGAGGCCTAGATTTGGCCTAGGACTTTGTTCACCTGCTGGCTCGAAGGCCCCAGAGCAGTGCCCTGCCTTCCTGCCCCTCCAGCAGAACAGGGGGCCATGTTCCTAAGAGCTGCTTCACCCACACCTGCCTCCTCCTCTGCAGCCCTTGAAATGCATCATCAAGCACCCCAATGGGACCCAGGAGACCATCCTCCTGAACCACACTTTCAACGAGACCCAGATCGAGTGGTTCCGTGCCGGCAGCGCTCTGAACAGGATGAAGGAGCTGCAGCAGTAGCTTTGCCACCCCCGCCTGCCTGCTCCTCGGACCTAACTCTGGTGTCGCAAGTGCAGTCTGCACGTCATCAGAACCAGATCTCATCCAGCCATGGCATTCTCCTCTCCCCCCCTCCCTCGGCCCATGGAGTGACCCACGGGCTTAAATGTTTCAGCCTCTGCCTTCCCGTTTTCAGTTTGGTTCAGATCTTGAGCAGTGCCATGCAACTGTATTTATTTTTGATGACAAGACTCCCATCTAAAGTTTTACTCCTGTCTGATCATTTCACTGGTGGCTGAAGGATTTTAAAGAAACTTTTGCTCTTATAAGGAAAATAAGAATTCACATCAGTGACTGTTCCCGTGTGTGCGTGGTGGTGTCTGTGCTGTTACCAACTCCAGGGTTCAGAGTGGTCTTTGTACCAGAGTTGGTGGAGGCCCTCGATGATACTACCACAGCTGGACCCTCACTGCAGCAAAGGAGACGTGAGCTGGCAGACTTCGCCGCCTTCTCCGCCCCCTCCCCGCCCTGACCCACCTCTGCCTGCAGGGCAGTCTCTCCTACCTCCCTCCCCCAGTCCAGTAGCTTTCCCGGTGGGCCAGGCAGCCAGGCGCTGGGCCCAAGATGGAGCCTCCCAGAAGGAAGGCCTCTCCTTCCCCTGGGTATTGATTCAGTCCTCCAAACACAGGTGGACACAACCACCATCTTCCACACAGGCGACCCTGTCCAAGGTCACAGCTAGTCCATGGTGCTCACTGTCCCCTGCCCCTCAGCACAAGGCAGCAGCAGGCACCGTCCCACAGCTGCTCCTCCTGGAGCCGTATCGACTGGCACTACCTGCACCACGCTCTGGTGCCATGTGAGCCATAAAGGCCAGGGCAGGGACCCTTCACCAGGACAAGACTTACTATAAAACCAGTCTGTCCTGGCAGAAGTGGGTGAAGGGGCAGGAGGAACCCAGCAAAGCCATTGTGCTGCATAAACTGGGGTGCGCGCCCTCGTGCATCAGACCCACAGGATTGTTCCCGGTGTGGCCAAGGTCTGAGAGTGACACCTAGCCCCAGCCCTCGCCTTGGGCCAGCAAAGCCCACAGCCTCCACCTTCCGCAGGTTGGTGGGAAGGAAGGTGCGTGTCCCTTAGTGGTCAGACTCTTCTCAGCAACTGGCAGCTTCTGGGGCCCAAGGCAGCGACCACAGGCCAGCCTCGCTCCGCGTCACTTTATGGAGCCACCAAGCTCAACCGGCTCAAAGCCCGGTCTGAGGCAGCCTGGATCACGCAGCCCCCAAGTCCTGCCGTCTGTGGTGGGGCCGTCTCTGCGAGTGAGTTGGGGAGAGGAAGGACATGCTGTCCCAGGTGCGGCAAGTTAGTGACCTGATGGCCATTGAGACAGTGGTTCCCCAACTGATGCTGCCATTGTTTATTAAATACAGTCTTTGTTGTCACTGAGAGCAGGACTTTGGGAAGAGGACCAAGGCCAGGGTGGTGGGGGAGGAGACAAGCTGGCAGGGCACTCTCGGCCCCCGCCCTCCAGCTCCCCTGAGCACAGGCTGTCGTCATGGCACCCCCTGGAGGGCTGGGGTGCGGTCTGCGGACCAGGCCACTGTCAAGCCCAGGGCTAGCTGCTGGTCCACCAGGAAAGAAGGCCCAGGCCCGGCTCACTGATGGATCCCTGCCAAGGGGAGAGGGGACAGGAAAGTACATTTCATCTACCTTCAGGGCTTGAGCCAACTTGGACAGGAGCCCTTTGTGCTGGGCAGCCAGCAGGCCCAGCGCTCCCAGCTGATACACGCAAGCACATGGCCAAACTCCCCTCTGCTGCCCCAGCTGCTGAGGCCTGGAAAGTGCCGGTTTACAGAGGGCACGGCCCCTGGCCCCAAGGCCTCAGCAGGGTCAGAGACTCTTGCTCACCCCAGGCCTGTCCAAACACATCTTTGCTGTCACTGAGAGCAGACCAGTCCTGAGCGTGCCCTCTCGAGCCACCTGTGGTCTCATCCTGCCAGAAAATCCTAGTGACCCTGAGCCCCAGCTGCCAAATGCTTGCAAAGGAGATGCCCTGGGCCACCTGGATTTCTGTGTAAGACACTGCTGCCCCCAAAGTGAACAAACTGGGGCCCATATTACACCAGAAGGGCCCTGAAGCCCCACTTTTGATATGTCACTGAGTTATGAGGGTAAAAGACAAAAGGAATCCAACTCAGATCTGGGCTGGTCGCAGCTTCTCTGCCAGCTCAGGCCCATGCTGGGTCCGGCAGCAGCCCTTGGGGTCACTCCCTGAAGCCTCACCCTTGCCCTTGGGGCTCTGACCTGCCCCCAGCCCCCTCCTTGGTTTCTTTCTCCCTAGGCCCGTTTCCAGTGGCCTTGCCATCCAGCTTGGGCTGTTCTCTTTCGGGCTGGGGTGTGACTCACCCACTCTCCCAATAGCCGTGGCAGCTTTATCACCTTGCCACGGGGATCACTGCCCCAGCCTAGAGAACAGGATCCCCAGGGGGAAGCGACTGCCCAAGACCCCACAAGGACCCGCACCCTGACCTGCTGGAAGGGCGGGGGGTCTAGGAGCAGAACCCAAGTCATCACGCAATCCCCGCCACCCGGGCGCCGCCACCACAGTCTCGGGGGTTTATGCTGCACATCAGATCACCTCACCACAAGCGTGTACGGAGCCTCCTTCTTTGGCAGCTCCTCACTGGAAGCGGTGGCCTCGGCGGAGCTGGGCCCGCTGGGGGACGTGTCCACGAAGCTCTCGTCCACCACCCGGAAGCGGATCTCCTCGCCGGTATCCATGTACAGGTCGTGGGCTCCCTCCTCCGTCTCGTACTCCCACACCCACACCTGCTCTGCCTCGTCACTGGGTGGGGCCAGGTCAAGGGAACAACTAGGCAATGGGGAACTTCTGAGGGTTGGGGGTTCCTCCCACAGCATCCCCCACCCCAGGAAAATCCAATACCACATTGAGATCATTTTGGATGGAAAGTAGGTCCAGCACCATGTGCAAGAAGTAAGGTTGGGCCAAGTTTGGGCCCTCCAGGAGCAGGACCTCTCGGGTGCCAGGACCCAGGCTGGGACCACGGGGGCCCTGGACAGGCAGTCACAGGCTTCCTCAGGTCATCAAAGCAGGAAGAAGCCTCGAGAGCAGAGCATGAGTTCACCTCAAGGTGGCCTCTTGCTGCCTGGGGTTCCCTCCCTGCTAGGTCTGACAGTCCTCTCAGAGGCTGATGCCAAATGCAGACAGCAGCTGCACCACCCACCTGCTGTGCTTTGGGGCCAGGCCCAACCTTCCCAACACCTCAGGGTCCCCATCTGTAAAAAAGGGACTGTAGCAGGGCCCACACTCACAGGGCTATGCTGGGGAGGCAATAAATGGCACCTACGGACCCACGGCTGGCCCCCAGTGTTAGTGACGGCTGTTCTGTGCTCTGCACGGTGTGACTCCACATCCGCTTCCACCCACAGTGGAAGACTTTCCCAGTTTTCAAGAGGACAGTAGGAGGGTGGGGAGTCATGTGCCTGAGAAGCCACAGCTGGCGAGAGGATAAGCCAAGCTGGGCCAGGTTTTCTGACCAGTTCTGGAATCACACACAGACCCTGTCGAGGGCAGCCCTGGGCTCCCTACAGAGCCCACAGTGGGAGCCACTCTCTGGCAGCAGCCCCGGCATGCATCCTGCTTCACCTCTGTGCCAGGTCCTGTGCTGGGTGCTGTGGGCCGTCTCAGGATGCACAGAAACAGACAACTGCAGTGCAGCAGGCCAAGGGTGGGGACAGGGACAACGGGGAAGACTGGCAGAGCGAAACAAGCCAGCCCAGGACCCTCACTTTCAAGTGCTAGGGAGGAGAGAAGGTGAGCCAGTCAGGGCAAGGCTCTCGAGGGAAGCGATCTCTGAGGTGATTCCTGCAGGGACAACCTAAGCCTAGTGAACCGGCAGTGAACGGTACCCTGCCTACAACGTACGAACTACAAATCAGGCCTGACAGCCTGGAGAGAGGCACGGGCACATGGACGCCATGGTCAGCGTGGGAAGCACGGGCAGATCGGTGCTTCTAGAACACAAGTGCAGGCTGGAGAGCGGGCAGAGACCAGCAGCATCAGTTCGCCAGGCCCAGGGCCACCCCGAAGAGTGAGGACTGTCCCTCGGAGAGCCCCGAGTTCCTCTGAGAGTCACTTTAACCTTCGGAGGATACAACTTGGCTGGCTGCTGCAGGGACTCTGGAGGGATGAGAATGTCATCAAAGAACCCTAGAGAAACTAGAGAAAGCAGAAAAGTGACAGCATAGGACAGGGACTCACGGTGGACGGTTAAGCCGAGAAGGGTCTGGATACACAAGAGGCAAACCCCTTACCACGTGCTACCCATGGGGCAGCTGTCATCATGGAAAACTGAGTCCCTTTCCCACCTCGGAGCCCCAAGCCTCTATGCCACTCACACAGTCTGAGCAGCCACCAAAACCTGAGGTGGACACTGCGCACAACATGGACCAGTGGGTGCTAAGGACCCTGGGTCACCTCCACCAGCTCCTGAGGTCCTGAGGTCTGGCCTCATGGTGAAGCCTCACGGCTGCTGAGGTCGCTGTCACACGAACGCGAGAGGGGGTTGAGTATTCCCCTCACGCACAGGCTTCTCTGGCACCACGTGAAGATTCTGCCTCTACCTCTGACCCTTCCCGACCACGGCCGGCACAGCAGCTACAGGGAGGAGGGCTGGCCTGGCCGCCGCCCCCACCATGCTCCCAGGCCTCGTCCGAGGAGTCAGGGCCCCGTTACCATGCACTCCCTCCGGGCTGCAGCCTTTGATCTTCCCAATCAGAATCTCGTCGAGGAACGGGTGGAACACCACATAGCGGAAGTGGACTGCAAGGGAGACAGCACGTCAGGGACGGTGGCGTAGGAGGAACGGGCGCTTCGACCAGGGCGGCGTGCTTTCCAGCACCAGCCCGTACTCGCCAACACACGGACCTGGAGGCCCTGTGGCTGCTCCGGGAGCCAGCCTGGCAGTCCCTGCAGAGTCCCCATGTGGGCCCAGACCCGGAAGCCGAGTTGGAAGGACCCTCACCTTGTCCCGAAAGGCCACAGGTTGGCCCCATAAGAGGCCAGCAGCAGTAGCCCTGGAACTGAGGGCTGGGGCCCAAATCTGTCAGATAAGACACCTGAGCCCAGATTCTAGGCCACTGACGACTCCAAAGTCAACCAACCTTCCTCCAGGCTCTCTCCTTTAAATTCTAAAAAGGGCAGAAGGTTTGGAAATGAGTTCCCTGGCTCCCACTGATTGAAGTTTGCCCCAGGTCTAGCTCTGACCTGGAACGGAATGCTAAAAATTCCCCGAAATTAAGGAGGCAGAGCTGATAACCTAACGAAAACGGCTGTGGGTTTGCGGGCCCTGCCCTAGGGGGCCCCCATTACTGGACCCCAATGAAAATGTCAGGTGAGGCTGGTGCCCACATCACAGACTCTGACGCCAGGGCCTAGCAGAATCCATCACCAATGCACTCGTGCCCCTTGCTTAAACCCTGAAGGGGCGTCCACCACTGGCCTGAACACCGCCAGGGCTGCAGAGTAACTATGAGGCTGCCCCCTGCTGGTCGCGAGTGACTATCACTATCACAATCTACCTGTGTCAGTTGTCACAGAGGCTGCGTAACCCACTGAGACACACAGCTGTTCTGCCCCATTCAGCCACAGAGAGATGCCGAGTCATTCTGAACAGGGCCACAGGGTTGAATCTGCCTTCCTTAGACAGGTTTAATCTCCAAACACAGGCTTCTGCCACGCACACCCTCAGCTACATGGTCTGCCAGCCTCACTCCAAGGACAGCAAGGCCCACGTGGCCCCTGGCTCCCTGCCAAGCTGCCACCACATGGCTCCATGGAAAGAAGAGGGGGCAGCTAGTGTCCCTTCCCTCTCTGTGAGGAGACAAACACGAGACATCTGAGCCATCATGATGACAGATCCTCATGCTGACCTTGCAGAGAGCAGATGAGGGCGGCCAGGGGTCACTTACCCATAAGATAGAAAAACCCTATCACCCATATGACACAGCATCGGTTCAGTTTAATAAATCCCCATGGAGCCGCTACCAGGTCTGTGCCAGGCCTACTTTAGGCACTGGCCTTTCGGGGACAGGAGGACAACATGATCCTTTGCCCGCGGAGCTCCTGTCTGAACCACATCCAAAAGCACACAGAAAGCAACTTGGGTCGCCATCGGCAGATGACTGGATGACCACACTGCGGTCTATCCGTGCAAGGGAGCATTATTCAACCTCAAAAAAGAGAAGTAGTGACACACTGCACACGGATGAGCCTCGGGGACATCATGGTACATGAAAAAAGCCAGACACACAAGGCCACACACATACTCTATGAGTCCATCTCTACCAAATGTCCAGAACAGGCAAATCCAGAGACAGACAGTAGGTGAGTGGCTGCCAGGGGCTGGGAAAGGGGAGACTGGAGAGTGATTGCCGATGGGTATGGGGTTTCTTTGCGGGGTGATGAGAATGTTCTGGAATTAGACAGGGGTGATGGTTGTACAGTTCTGTGAATATACTAAAAGCCACTGAACTATAAGCTTTCAAAGGGTGAATTTTATGGTATGTGAATTACATCTCAGTTAAAAAACAAAAGGCCGCAGACCAGCTGGAGGGCCGGCCAGGACAGGGCTGAGTTGGGGGCCACCCTCCCAAGAGCCCCACCTGAAGTTCTGGGGATGTTTGGCCTGCAGGTGGGAAGCCAGGAAAGTCAACGGGGTGGTGTGAAGGACAATGAGAAAGGGGAAGTCCTGCCCTTGTTGTTGCCTGAGTAAAATTTGTCCCGGGAGAAATAGAGATGTGCCTCGGGATGTACTGAGTTTCCACAAAGGGCAGATGCGACATGATTCCACTTAGATGAGGTACCCAGGAGTCAAATCCTTAGAGGCAGAGAGCAGAGTGGAGGCTGCCAGGGGCCAGGGGAGCGGGGCATCAGGAGTTGCTGTTTAGAGAGTACAGTTTCTGTTTGGGGTGATGAAAAGGTTCTGGAGATGGATGGTGACGGCTGCACAACACAAATGTGCTTAGTGCCACTGTACTGTATACTTAAAAGAGATTAAAGTGATAACGTTTATGTTATATATATATTTTATCACAACTTAAAAAAAAAAAAAGAACAAAGCAAAGGGCAGGCATGGAGACAGGCTGCCCTGGAGCTCAGAGCAAGGCCCCCGTCTGGCCTGGGCGGGAGCAGCAGGGCAGGTCAAGCGGGGTCTCCCAGGGGCAGCCAGGACCCGCCGGTGGCGAGGAGGGCATGGAGCACACGGGGCTCGTGCCAGGTGGCAAGAGATAAAGCTGACCAATTGGGACTAGTGCCACAAAATCACAAAGGCCTAAATCTCGTGAGCGCTTACCATGTGCCAAAGGCCGCACTTGGTTTTTCTCGCGTACTCCTCACACTCGTTTTATGAGGTAGGTACTGTTATCGTTATACTCTTTTTCCAGATGTGGAAACCGAGGCTTAGAGAAGTAGAGGAATCTGACTTGGGCAGAGGTAGAAGTAGAAGGAGAAGAAACAATCGGCCAGCGAAAAATCTTCAAAGTGAAGCTGGAGCCACGGTGCTGGGCCCTCCGTCAGCACATCCAAGGCCACAGCCCTGGTTGGGGGGGGTAGGGGCCCGGGCTGCTGGTCAGCCTTGAAGCGGGGCGCCTGATCCCCATCACAGATTAGCAACTCACCCTGCATGGTGCTCACTGGGCCATGAGAAGTTTTACAGCTGCCCCATTTCATAGAGAGGTGGAGTCACCTGCCCAAGGTCCCCTCCCAGTGCGGGGGGCCAGAGCCAGAATTCAAATCTAGGTCCATGTGAAGGGTCTAACCCATACCTCATACCTCATTCCCAAGCAAACGGGGGACCCAGGTGAACAGGGGGCAGTAATGAAAATCAAGTACAATCTTATACCAAGTGGTGGAAACAACCAAATGAATGGACAGAATTTCTTCCATTTCAACTTTTTTCTCCAAGTTTTTCTTGACTTTCTGGTGCCTCTTATTTCTTGTCTTCCTGGACACCCAAGGCCCCAGTCCGAGGGCAGAGACTGAGCTCGTCTTGACAGCACCCTTCTCTGTAGACAGAGGCCCTGGTGGCACTGTCTTATTTTTCTGCTAATGAAGCTTCTCCTAGTCCTTACAAACAGCCTGCTCCTTAGGGCTCGCTGCTGAGCATGACAGCATCCATGCGAGCTAATTAAGTCTCTGGGTCCCTGGACACGGACGCCAGGCAGCCTCCTGGCACGTTCTGGAATGCTCAGACATCTCTGTGCCTGTGCCGAAGCTGTGGCCTCACGTGAGCATCACCCGGTTCCCAGTTTAAACCCTCTGCGGGCCCCACCTCAGTCGGTCTGAGACAGACATGGCAAGTCTCGTATCTACATTCTGATTGACTAGTCCCTGAACCACCCAAATGGCCCCCATGCCATCTGCTTCTGATTTGGTTGAGTCCGGGCATGAGCGTGAAGAATGCCCCACTCCCTTTGAGATCTCTTCTCAAGGTGACCCTCCCTCTACCACTCCCTCCCTCCCACCCTCCAGGTCTGGTAGCTAAATCCTGGGTGCACACCCTTTTGCAAAGTGATGGCAGCTCCTCCTTCAAGAGGTGGAGCCTATTTCTCCATCCCCTGCCACTGCCTTCAGCCATGTGACATTCTTTGGCCCATGGGATATAAGCAGGGGTTCCTGCTCCCCAGTCTAGCCTGCTGAAAGGTGAGAACCGCACTGAGCTGAGATGAGCCATGCCAGCTGAGGCCCCCGCCCAGCCACTAACCAGTCTGCCAACCACCAGACATGTGAGGCTACCCTACACCATCTAGCCCTGGCCAAGCCGGCCCAGAAGAAGCCACCTGGCTGATGCACAGAATCGGGAGAAATAATTCAAGTCATTGAGCACTGAGTACTCTCAATGTACCAAGGTCCTGTCCTAAGAGTTCTACACATATTATTAATTTAGTAATCCTTACCACAGTCCTGTAATATGAAAAATACTGTTAACTGCGTTCTACACGGAAGGACACAAGGCACAGGGAGATCACATATTCTGCTCAGGACACACAACAAACATGTGGCAGAGTTGAGATTGGAACCCAGAGGCCACACTTTTAACCATTATTGTCCTAGTATTCCTCAGAGTCCTTCCCCCTCAGCCAGCCTCTGCTCTCCACTCTTAAGCCAGCAACAATCTCTCCAACTGTCTTTGCCTATCTGGCCCGTCTCCCCGCACCAAAATGAGCGACCGAGGGCTGGGCAAAGAGCAGAAATCAGGAGCAGACGATGTCAAAGTGGACACACAGAGCCACAACTACAGAGCTGGAGACGCCTTGGGAATCACCTTGTCCGCCTCCTATTTCTTATAGGTGAGGAAGGAAACTGGGGCCCAGAGAGGGGAAGATTCTGCCCATCATCACCCGGGCAGTTGCTGGCAGAGTCAGGACTAGGCCCTGGGACTCCCAACCTCCAGACCAGGACTCCCACCGCTGACAAGTGAGCCCCTGAAATCCAGTGATGCAGGACAGTGCACCCACCTTTGGTGTGCGATGCACCGTCTCCTGGGAACACGTAGGCATCTTCAAGCTTGGTGATGTCGAACAGACAGATGCAGAGTCCCACGTTGTACACGACCTGTGTGCATACATGCGTACACACACCCACGGTGACCCCGAGGCCTAGCTCCCAGGAAGTCTCTCTTGAGACCCTCACCACCTTAGAGCAGGTATGATCGCCCCTGTTTCACAGCTGGAAATGAGTTGGGGCACTGCTTGAAGTAACCACGAGTAAGGAACCTTGGAAGAATGTGGGGCTATGGAAAGAATATGGCCTTTGGTGACAAGGCAGATCCAGGTTACAATGCCAGCTCCAGCACCTATTGCATGACCTCCAACATCACCTTCCTGAGCCTCTGTTTCCCCATCTGCAAAAATGGACATATCATGCTGCGGGATTGTTAAATAAAGAGAGAAAATGGATGGGAAACTCCTATCCCAGTGCCTGGCTCACATGCTACAAATAATAATAATGAAGGATCACTATTATTACTAGTAGCATTCAGCGTAGGGGAATCCCTGATTAAACCTACACTTTCCAAGGTCCCCAGTCCATATGAGAGCTCAGTGAGCATCAGAACCACAGCTAATCTCTATTCTGCTCAAAAAGTCTTAGACACACAGATATGGCCACAGGGACTGAGGCTGGTAAGATGACACATGGCCAAGTCCCCAAGACTGGGCAGAGAACAGGCAGAGTACATCCCACACCCCATTCCCACCCCATGGCGCTTCAAACAACTAGCTGCTTGCTTGGTGTCTGCTAATCTGTCACGAGCATCATCACCTCCCAATTACAGACCTTGCAGAACTGTTCAGGGATTAGCAAGAAGCACAGAGAACTTAAGAGTCCTGGCCAGACCTCACTGCAATGAGGCAAAGTCCAGCAAAAGCTCTATGCCCTTGGCCAGACCATGGATCTCCCTGTGCAGCCTCCTCTCAAATGACTCAATGATTCAATACAGAAAGACTTGTCTAAACAGGTCACTGAAGGACCCAAGCCACAAAGGGACTACATTCCTTTCTTGAACTTTGCACACCCCTCTCTGTGTTCACTTTGTCCCCACACATACCCCCTAGACTTCTACCTCACAAAGTAACCAGAAACCATCTACCAAGGACTCCATGAGTTCTTCCCACCACCACCAGCTCCCCAGGTCTGCACACCCCCTTCTTTGACCTCAGCTTCTATGGAAGGGAACTACCTCCTGTCTAAAGCCAGCCAATCTTCCTCTGCTGGCTCCTTCCCACTTATCACCTCCTGCAGTTCTAATAGATGAAAACAATACCCCATGAAGTCTTTCCTACAGGCCCTATGGCTAGCTCCCTAGCCACCTTTGCACACTGCCCAAGCCACACCAGCTTCCTCCATGCCATGAAGGTACAATATTCCCTCCTGCCTCAGGTCCTTTGTGCATACTGTTTCATCTGTCTGCGCAGGTCTTTTCCCTGCCCAGCCCCTCCCACCACAAAAAAACTAATTACCTCGTTAGCTCCATCTCAGCTCAAGTTCCAGTGCCATCTCCCTAACAAAGCCACTTGTCTCTCTCATTGTAGGTGAAGTTCCTTCTTCCACAGGCTTGTGAATGCCTGTCCTTCACAGCCTTCACCTTGACTTGTCATCACACTCGACTGTGGGATCCTCTCGTTCACATTTGCTTTTACCACCACATTACAGGTCAGAACCTTGTCTGTTTCCTTCATTCAATCAACAGATAATTATGGAACATCTACTCTGTGCCAGGCTCTGGCTAAATATGGGAGATACCATGGAGAAGAAGACAAAAGTCCCTGCCCTCATGGAGAAGGAAAAAGAAAACCAGTAACCCAGTAAACAAATAAGAAAATAGTGGTAAGTGCT